CTGGATACTAACTGTCCTTCCCTCCAAAGAAATTAATGTCTGCACAAGCCCCTCCCTGTCCTGAAGGGACAAACACACATTTATTCAGATATCTCATGAAACAGGAGTATTTGTGCACATCACTCTCTGACGTCAGTCCCAGGAAGATAATTTGAATATAATTAATGATAATAATTGAAATTATCATTGAAGGTATCAGGGGAAAGGCAAGGAGCTCATGTTTTGGTAGCACACAGAGGCACCACTTTACAGGTATTTCTAAACCTTTCCAAAAGCGGCAGAAGGCATCAGCAGAAAAGAAATAATAATCATAATTGTTCAAAGAGCCAGGAAATATTACTTGATAAATGAAGAAAAATGATGACACTAATTGACATCATGAGAAAACTCAAAAAGAAAAAACACAACCCACCTCTTAAAAGAAAACAAATTAATCTCTTAATCTCTTAAGAAAGAAATTCCAGGGCAGGCCTGAATCTGTCAAAATTAATTTCTCCAGAAATCCACCAGATTAAAAACATGAAGGAAAACAAAAAAGCTCACAGTCACAGCAAAGTCTCAAATATTAATTTTGGGCTACCCATCAGTAATGATTTCTTTAGGAAGTTTTCATAACACCAAATAAAATTACATTCTGAATAATACTTGGCTGACAGAGAAAAACTGCCAAGTTACAGAATTTGCTGTTACAATATTGTTGTAGCTGGGTTTTTCTGTTTTGCTTGGGGTTTTTTTTTTGGCTCTTCATATGTTATTGTTTCAGCATCAAATATACTGCATAATATAATGCAGAATCAGAAACAAGCAGGATATTTTTAATAGAAAAGCACACTGGAAATTCTGAATTTTCTTCCAAATTAGGACAAGCACAAAGTTCCTTTTTAATACCAGCTGCTTATTCTGCAGCTAAGCCTTGTTCCTCAAGAAATTACTGAAAAATAGTTAGGAACAAACCTCAGGTAAGTGCAGAAATGATAAAATTGGGTTGTCTGTATTTTCTCTGAGTATTTTACTAGCATGAATCTTTTTTTTCATTCATTAGGATTGTCTGGGATACAGAAAAGGGATTTTGGAAATGCCAAAGAGGCCTCATTCATTGACTGCAAGAACTTGTCACAGAAACTACAGATTCCACACTTTTTGTGAGAGACAGAAACTTGAAATACAACATTCTGAAGTAAAATAGCACAGACATAATGACCTGCTGGCACCATACCTGACCTTTACATTCATATTCAAATATAGGAACTCTGCTACAGATTTAATTTTTTTTCTAAAGCTCTTTATGACCCTCTTGGATTGCAACTTCTACTCCTTCTTGTTTTTTAATCAGAAAACCAAGTGAAAATTTTATTTCTGGTGTGTGTTTATAATCTTCTTTCATCCTGATGAAAGCAGGAAGTGCAGTAAGGCATCCAAGTAATTCAGAAATTGAAATGCAAAGAAAAGCATATTTACACTTGTGTCTTATTCCAGAGAGAAATGAGAATTGCAGAGAGAAGTGAGCTGAGCACATCAGCAAAGTTGTGAATTAGGATGAGAAAACTTTGAATTAGAAATTTCAGAGGGTAAGCATCTTTACATCTGCACAGATTAACCCCTTGCAGGGTGAATCTGGAGCATGTGAGGAGCAAAGCAGTTGGGTTTAGGGATGCATTGATATGAACAGTCCTGGGCAGCCCAGCCACGCTGTGACCTGGAAATTATTCACTTTTTTTGCCTCAGCTCCACACCTCCAGCCCTGATGATGATTCACTTTTTTTGCCTCCAGCTCCACACCTCCAGCCCAAGGATGCTCAGGCTGCCTCTGTGTTAAGCCCAGCCATTAAACCCCACTGCAGGGCGAGCAAAGGTCGAGTTTAACAGCTGAGCTCTGCAGAAAGGAGCCTGAGTGAGGTGGAAAACAGAAATGGAGAGCTCCCATCAGCTCAGGCAGCTCCCCAGGTGAACAGATCCAGGGAAACAGGGCTGAGTGCTGGCAGGGGAGTTTCCCACAGCTCCCCTTGCTGCCCCCAGCCTGGGGCATCACAGCCTGCTGCCCACGCTGCACAGAAAGAGCCAGCTGGGGAAAAAACCAGCAAAATGCTCCAGAGAAGCTAAATTAAAGCCAGATGTAGAAGGAGCAGATGCCTGAAATGTACTTGAATGTCAGTTCAAGGCAGGAGAGGAAAGCTTGCTGGTGTTATTATTTATTAATTGTCATGCTAAGGAAGGCATGGAGAACATTTATGATGTAAGAAATAGGTGTTCTGTTGACTAAAAACCCACAGTTTGTATCAACTTTAAACCTATTTAAATGTATTAAAATTTTAAACATATTTTTTAAAAAATGTTTTAAATGTTTAAGTTAATTAAGTTTAAAATGTATTAAAACTTTGAACATATTTAAATGAATTAAAATATTATGGTCAACTGCACAGCCCTGGAATAGGAATTAAGCAGTGCAAGTAAAAAAAGATTTTCACTAAGTGAAAGGTCTTCTATATCTTACTGCAAATTGTGTTCCTTAAATCTGGGCAAACACACTCTGTGCTAATCATGTGGGGGGAGATTTCATGGAAATTTAGGCTATATATCCAAAAATGTTGTATTTAACAGTTACTCCTACAGAACATGCACAACTTATCCTGATTCTCTTTTAGGCAAACTCAAAACTTAGAAAAAAATTCCCATTAAGCACTTTTACACACACATCATGAAAGGAGCTAAGCATTTAGGTGAACTAAAAATAAAAAATATTTTAAAAATTTGAAACATAAGAGCAGCACAACACTTTTTCTGACCACAACAAAACACTCTTGGCAAAATGTTCAATGAAATGCTCTGAGTGAATGCACATTTTAACAGAGAACCTTTTAAAAATAAGCACAAGATTGAGTAGTTCCCCTGTCAGAGGCAGGTTTATTAGTGAAATATCAGGGATTTATAGATGGAATTACAACCCAGTTATGATGTTACTGGGTAAATAGAAGGTTGGATGACATCTAACTTTACAAGTCTATTTTCTTTATAGTTCTGGATAGATTTTACTAGACAGGAGGAAAGGAAAATCTGCAGTTACCAGAAGCCATTTTATGGCCTCCAAATGCACCAATAATCCACAAAATCCCTCTGAAGAGTTTGAGTGGTGAAAAGCAGATAATTTCTCACCAGAAAAATGAAACATTCCCATCCCAAACCAGGCCATCCCCACGTGGTGAAACCTCTCAGTGCTTTTGCTGCAAGCTTTAGAGTGTAATGAGAATATCTCAAAGCAAAGGAGCAGCAACCTTAGCAAATCCAATGGCTCCATTTTAGAGAACACATTCTGCCAAGAGCAGCTCCAAAGCAGCCAGAAACACCAAAAAAATCATTTTACAGAGCTCACAGTCCCCAGCTGCAGCGTGAGAAAAAGGAGCTTGAAATACAAGAGAAAAGGAGCTCAGGACAGGAGAGTAATTCTGCAGAAAAGATATTAAAGGAGAGTAATTCTGCAGAAAAGATATTAAAGGAGAGTAATTCTGCAGAAAAGATATTAAAAGCACTCTCTTGTGCACCTAAAAAAAATTAAGAATTGCCCCGGATGATGAACTGAGAGACTTGTGGAGGAGCACAAAACAACCTCTTTGTCTTTCAGAGCCAAAATGTAATGGTTTTCAGTGGCAAAGTGTAACAGAGAGCTGGGTTTTAATCCAAAGCAAGCAGGGGCGCTCCAGGATCTCCATAAATAATGTGCCTGTCAGCCCTTGCCATTCAGGAACACAGATTCACCAAGACTGTTCAACTGGTTAACTGCTGAAAGAGATGGATTTTCCCAAAAATGCAGCAATCCCAGAGGGAAGAATGAAGCAAGCTCCCTGGTTTTATGACAGTTACCCTAATTTGAAAATGTGAGCTCTGCAAATACTTGTTATGTCAGATTTTCCACCTCTGAGCAGTGATTTCACTGCATAAACCTCACTGAAGTACCCCAGCATTTTTGAAAGGACACAAATTCTGGGTTTTGAGCAAAACTTTGAACTTCAGTAAGCTACAGCAAACTCCCACCAGACTCTGTATTTGTAGAGTATCTAAAACCTCATTAACAAATACCTATTGTGAAGCTGCAAAAGGGATTTATGGATTAATACCTGCTAATAATACATTACTAATTTAAATTGTTTTTATGTTTTACATTAGCAAACTAGACACTGAAAGTCAGGCCTGGCAATCAGACTTTAATTATTCCTGCTGTTAATGAATGGCATGTGTTAAAGGGTGCTTGTTTTCCCTTCTGGGATCCCTCTCAATATATATTTAAATTTGTTCTAGGTATGACCATGCTGATTTCAGAATGCATTAGGTATTTTACAGTTCACGTTTCCAGCATCTGCTACAATTATTTCTCAAAGTTTGAAACATGAAACAGAGAGCCAAGTCATCATTATCCACCCCAAACTTATTAAGAAGCACTGTGGAGCCCTTGCCAGCTGAAAAAACAGCTGCAGCACTTGCACAGGCTGCAGGGACTGAATAATCACTGCTTCAGAAGCAGCCCTGGGATCCAGCTGTGCCAAAATTAAACGATGGTGCACAAGGGTAGATACTGGCAGGAGGAAGGACTACAAATCATTGTTAAATATAATATTAGGAGATACCTAATATTTTTTGATTTTTTATGGAGCACAACTCAATATTGAGTTATCACCAGTCCATGAGATCAAACATACACCCAGGTTTCTGCCCAAATACCTTTTTTGTCACTGGGCAGATAAACAGCATTTTTTCCCCATATTATAATCCATCAAGCAGCATAATTACATTTTAATTGATCTAAAATTGCAATTGATTTCCTCACACCACATAACCCAAGTCACCTGCCTCCTTTAAAAGTAATATTGAAAGACTCAGGTACAGAAAGTTACAATTCATTTAAGAGAATGTCTAAATCATTGTGTCAATCATTCTGTAAATGAAATACCACTGCTTAATTCTATCATTTGACCACATAATTAATTAATATCCACATTTTATTTGCTTACCTCAGCAGCCTGTGTCTCCTGGTGTAATAAAGTCAGACCTGTCAAGTCTTCCAAGAAGGAATGTGAAGAATTAAAAACTTTGGCTAGGAAATTAAACCCTTCTTGTTCATACTGCTCAAGGACCTGCCAAATAAACAAACAGAGAAGTGTTTCAAATGTAATACCCATAATCTGATTCATCCTCATACTTGGCTCGCAAAATAAAAGCAGAACCTTCCTCAGCACTCAGAAAATGACTGGACACTGCAAACAGGTAAAAATGACAGCCACATAATTAATTAATATCCACATTTTATTTGCTTACCTCAGCAGCCTGTGTCTCCTGGTGTAATAAAGTCAGACCTGTCAAGTCTTCCAAGAAGGAATGTGAAGAATTAAAAACTTTGGCTAGGAAATTAAACCCTTCTTGTTCATACTGCTCAAGGACCTGCCAAATAAACAAACAGAGAAGTGTTTCAAATGTAATACCCATAATCTGATTCATCTTCATACTTGGCTCACAAAATAAAAGCAGAATCTTCCTCAGAAAATGACTGGACACTGCAAACGGGTAAAAAGGACACAGAACAGAACAATCATTTTCCCCAGCTCAATCTCTACATTGAGGAAAGGTGGAAGCAAGAGGGAAGAGAAATGGGGTTTGAGATTTCCTGCTTTGAATACATTTTTTATGACAGATGATAAGGCAAGAAGGAAAGCTTGGCTGCACAGCCATGAAAGGAGCATTTGAGTGCCACAAAACACAGTAAAGCCTGTTCCAGGGGCAGTGCAGGGAAAGAACCATGCTGGGACAGCCTGAAAAATTCCCCGAGTAGGTGTCCAAGCCCAACACCCCCAGCCTCCAGAGATCCCTGCTTCTGAGGCTCTTGTATCTTTCTCTATTTTTCTGCTTTAATTTTCCCAGTTAAGTTTTTATTTGGACAATTTTACAAGCTCCTCCAAGAACTGTGAGGTTTTAGTTTATATTCCTCTCAGGCCCAGACCACGAAGAAGTTTATTGCAGCCTTAGGGAAGGAGTTGCCAGGCTGGTTTCAAGCCAGGGAGATGCAGATTAAGGGAAGAGAAGATAAATATCAAACATGACCCCCATCCTACACCTTTTGGGACAGCAGGCAGGCAGAAAATGGAAGGAACTTATGCCTGAGCAATCCCAGGATCCATTGTTTCCTTATTTTTGTTCCAAGTTCTGATCATTTCACCCCCTGCTCTCAGATGAAGCAGCTGAGCTTGATGAATTCCAAACAGCTTTTCCTGCAGAACTTCAAGGAGCAGAGCAGGATTTATGCAGGGACCTCAAAGCCACAGACATTTAAATGGAAAGGAACAGGATGTGTGACAGGGAAAGGATCACCAGGATCCAGAAGAGGCAGGATTTTCACAAGAATGGAAATCTCCCATCAGAATTCATCAAATCACAACTTAGTCTCACAACAACTTCACTCCTCCCTAGTTTAACAATTCCTAATGGTCTCAAACACCCAATTCATTGATAAAACTGTGGGAACTTGGCCAGCCCAACAACATTCTTCAGCAAAACACATCCTGTGAGCACTTACACTGGAATTCAGGCTCGTTAAAAACCATATTTATATTTAGCTGACAGGATTCTAAATCTACTGATAAAAATAGACCGGGATCCTCACTCAGCTCTTCATGCAAAACTATCTAATGCATAATTAGGGATCAAAAAACACAAACAGAAACAACTGAAACACAAGTATGAAAAGGAAGACAGATATAAAAGGTGATTATCAAACATTTGGCACCTTCCTGACCACACTTATTCTTCTAAAATAAACAAAATCAGCACTTTACATTCTCTTCCTGAATCTACAGAAATTGTTCTTCATACTTTAAAAGTTTCATTTGCCATAGGGGTTTGTGTGTGTGCAACAATGACTGATAAATATAACCATGAATTTAAAAATGAAAAAATGATTTAAAAAACAATATTGGGAGCATTTCTTTGGGGTTTTTTGGATTTTTTTATTCCTGAGATAAATGAAATAACACAACATTCACAATGCAATACAGAGAACTGAACAACTTCAGCATTTTTTTGGAGATGTGTCTTCTCAGTATTATCCACTAAATATGGTGGGATTGCACTGTGGCTTTACCCATCCAATGGGAATTCTGGGTTTCCAAATCCCACTAAAACAACCCGAGTGCAGCAGTCTCTGGCACAGACACCAATTTCAAAGCCTGGAGTGTGTTCACAGCCCTGCCTGTGGGAATTCCTCACCCTGGCAGGGGGTTTTGGCTTTTTGGCTTGTTTGCCTCCAAGGTTTTTGGAAGAACCACAACCCAGATTTTTGGTGCTGCAGGACCAGAGTTCGTGGCCCACTGAAACCATCCCCAGCCTGCACAATGAACCTCAGCCTTATTTGAAATTATTACAGCACCTCAGAGAAACGCAGGGACAACAATGCTGAGATATTCTGGTCTCTTCCCAGGGGCAAAACTTATTAAAAGATGTAAACCACCTTGGGCTATGCAAATATTATGAGCAGAGCAGGGAATTGAGTGCAACCTTCCTATATACAGCTCATCCATCAAGCAGCCCTTAAAGCTGGCTGGGTTTGTTATTCAGCAAACTCTGCTTCCATCCTCGCTCCCAAAATCTGGGATTTGAGCCTGCAGTGAGAATTTCCAGGTGCTGCTCCCTCAGTGAGTGCACCAATCCAGAGTGCCAGGGTGCTGAGCAGGAGCTGCCATGGTTTATCTCAGGATGGGCAGACCTTGCCCAGCCCCTGCCAGGAATTCCTGAGCTCACCCTGGCACCCAAAGTGGCCAGAACTGCTGGGGATGGAGCACCTGGAGCAGCTCTCCTTAAATCCAAGTGCCCTTTGTGCTGTCATCAGTGTGGACAATGCCAGGAAGTCTCTCATTAAGTGCCTTTGAAAGTATTAATATTAATAAAATTAATAAATACAAACAAATTAAAATTTATATATAAATACACAAATAAAAATTTATACATAAATACACAAATTAAAATATCTATATAAACATATATAATATAAATATTAAAAATTAATACATCATACAAATGTAAATTATTATATAAAATATAATCAAATTCATTGAAATTAATATAAATATCAATAAAATTGACAAAATATTAATAAGGTCACAGATCCAGGAGTTGCAGGTACATTATTTTTAGATTTTTTTGTACTGGTACATATTAACCTGACCAAATCCATTGCTATGGAAAGATTTAAACATTTCTCTTCCCCCTGTGTGGCAGAGACCTTCCATGGTGCCACAATGGCAAATTCAGCTTTGGGTAACAAATCTGACCATGCACACAGGATCTTAGAAACATAAAGCACATCAATAAAGAACATTTTTTTCTTCTAGCAGCAACCACGGAGGCCTGAAAAGCTGTATTAAAAAGTGTACTTGCTGATTCTAATGACTTGCTTTTTACAAAGAGTAAAAAGCAGTGCCTGCTGAATGGAAGTGTTTGTTAAGTAGTTTTAAATCCAGAATTCCAGGCACGTGAGCCAACAAATGTCATATCAGAGAGCCAAAAACCACCGGCAGCAGCACATGTGCTGCCTGAGCAGGTACCAGTGAAGAAGATACCCACTGTAATGAAATCCTTTTGATAATGGCAGTGACTGGGAGAACATTTTGTCACCCTCAGGGACTTTATTTCTCCAGTGAGATGATGGAAACTTTCCAGTGCCACAAAAGGAAGGAATTCCACAAAGCTGCACATCTAACCTTTCCTCCCCAAATTCAGCAGCAGCTTTTCTCTGATAATGGAACAGGGCACAGATTTGTTCAGCAGCCACTGCCCAGTCCTCAGAAAGGAAAAAGAATGAGGCAAAATAATCTCAGATTGCTATGCCAGGAGACCACACAGGGAGTAATCACACAGGAATAAAACCAGTCTGAACAACAAATAGACACAAAATAATTCTAAAAAATGTTTCCAGATTTAATAAGTGACCAATTTGTTGTTGCATGGAAAGGAAATTTTCTCCTATTTAATCATGTCTAGCAGATCCCAAAGGCCCAAGGCTGGCATGAATTTGCTCTTGCACTTCTGAACAATTCTCATCCTTGGTCCCAGTGAGATTCCCAAGGAACAGCTCTACAGGAGCAAAATACTTGAGAGATGCTATGTCACATTCATATTTTCTGAAAAATCCCTTTGTCCAGGATTTTTCTCCTGGGAAGCTGAGAAGCCTCAGAGGAAAAGGAAAACAATAATTATCTGATTTGCTTCTCCTGTGTTTTACTCCTTTGGAATGTGTTTGGGGATTGTTTACCCACAGGTGATTGTTTCATTGGACTCTGCTGTGAGTTGTTTTCACTCTTTGGCCAATCAGTGCCAAGCTGTGTCTGGACTCTGGAAAGAGTCACAAGTTTTCATTATTATCTTTTTAGCCTTCTGTAAGTGTCCTTTCTGTATTCTTTAGTATTGTTTAGTATAGTATTCTTTAATATAATATAGATCATAATAAATTAGCCTTCTGAGAACATGGAGTCATATTCATCCTACCTTCCTTCATCTGGGCACCCTGCAAATGCAATAATGCTACAAATTTGCATGGTTCTTGATCTCAAACCAGTTATTGTCTGACCACAGATATACAAAATCCCACCTGAACTTTTCCAGGGATAAACCCAGTCCTCCAGTGATGTGTCACTATGCAGCAATTCATTTTCCAGGCAGGAAAAAAAATTATAAAAGCATTACAAAGAACCAGAAATACATAATTCTTGCACCCAGCCTGGCAAGCTGGAGCAGGAAGGATTTATTAAGGAACTCTTATCTTCTCCTCACCTGCAGGTCACTTTTCAGAGCTTAGGAGAGCTGGAAATCACCAATTCCTTCTGGATTTCCAGGCTGCTACAAACACTGCCAGGAGAAGCCACATTTTTACATCACCTTTCCTGACATGCAAATGTCTCAGGTTGATGCCACAACCTTGATTTCAGCCTCCACTTCACAGAGCCAGAGCTCCAGAACTGTTTCTTTTACACAAGGGCATTTTAATAGAACAAATCAAGCTGTGGATGCACACCATCCCATCAGGACCAAATCCATGGGCTGCCAAAGCTTTCTGAGTAAATGATACCCAGAAACTCATTTCATGAGCAATCT